TGAATACTAATATTAATGTAGCACGTTACAGCAAAAAGAAAATCAACCATACAATACGAGCTTGACGCTATCTGTCTAACCGCAAATTTATTTTATATGAATTTGTTTATGTACAAATTAAAGAATAGAAACGTTTAAAATTGTGAATATTTAATTTGCCTGGTATACACGGAAGACTTGGATTATTCGTATTTAATAAAAGGGGGTCGAAACATATTTTTTGTACAATCATCTTCTTAACTTTCAGAAATGTCTTCTTAATTAACTGCATGGTTTTAAGTATTAAAATTGAAAATGATCCACCCTTTTTCTTAAATTCAATATGTGATAACTGTCGGCCTAAACTATTAAGATCGAAAAAGACATAAATAGGAAAAATAGACTAAAATCAACATTGAATGACTGACTCTATTCGGTAGCGTACAGCAGCGGAATGTAACGAGTGAACTATTCGGGTTACTTCGTACGTACATACGACAACAACTGGTCTATTCGTAATTTTCCGGGAACACGAAAATGACCGAAAAGTGTCAGTGATTTGATCTATCACATGTCGAGAGTCAATTACCATGCCATATATTAAACCAATTAACGAGTTATCGAAAGATGGGCGGTAACGCAGATGAAACCTTTGAAGTGACGACGATGTTATTCCTTTAAATATTACTTCCATGTTTAGCCTAAGAACTGTAAAAAAGTGGGCGACTTATGGTCAGAGATAGCGATTAGATAGTCATATCTAATCTGAAAGTATGTCTGTTGGTTTTTGTTAGTCGTTTGAGTTGCTTTCTCGTTGACTTTAAAAACCTCAAATCTCTCTTTATTCATAATTATATTCTATTACAGAAATTAATATCAATGTTAAAGACGCGATTTTCTGCTTCCGGAATGTGCTGACCTGTATTCAACTCATTTGAACAAAACTAAAAAAATATTTTAAAAAATACACCTCATGCCTAAAGAATATTATATAGCTCTTCAACTGTTTCGGTACTTATACATCCCTCGGATTTCAAATGTTTGGCTTTGAGCGTTCCTGATGAAGGTAAATCCAGAAAAGCGCTTCGACGCATGAAATTATTAAACGTGTTGTTTTCAATTATTTACATCACTGGGTCGATACCTCTGCTGGTGGACTATCAGTCCCCGAGTGTATCATCAGCTCAGTAGTCAGTACTTCGGTACAGACAAGATTAATAACAAACTTTTCTAAAATTTCCCGTTTATAAATTTTGAAATTATAAAGAAAGTAAGGTTTCAACTCCCTCAGGCAAAGTTGACCTTAGATGGATGATTTGGCTATTTGTTTTAGGTATTTTTGTCATATAGCTCTTCAACTGTTTCGGTACTTATATATCCCTCGGATTTCAAATGTTTGGCTTTGAGCGTTCCTGATGAAGGTAAATCCAGAAAAGCGCTTCGACGCATGAAATTATTAAACGTGTTGTTTTCAATTATATTAATGTTTAGCTTGTGATCTCTTGGTAGTATGTTTGTTCACTTGGCAGTGAAACCATTAGTTATTGTAAAATCTCCCCACTTTAAAAACATAAGAAGATGTTGTATGATTGCCAATGAGAAAACTTTCCACAAGAGATAACATAACAATGATGTGGGTGTGGATATTAACAACTATAATAGCTCATCGTTTAAATTATAAAACTGTTAAGACAATAAGTGGAAAAACAAATATGACCGACAGCAAACACTAACCACCAAGTAATAAAGGGCCACTTACTTGTGATAATAATATTCATAGTGTGCAGGGTTAACCATGTTTGCGAGCACTCAGCCCTCCCATACTCAGGAACAGTTTTGAAATAGCAAACAACATGAGAAAAAATTATAAAACTCCGTTGGAAAGGGTTCGACTCAAAAAGATCAGCATGGAGTATATAACCAATTAACAAAATGACACTGAGTTCTAATAGCTAGTTCAAAGCTAATTACACTACAGTTGATGAATATAAATCAGTACACATCCGATTAGCAACCAGTGAAAAGTGGATTCAGTGTTACAGCGCTGGTGTGTAAGTACTGAGATAATCGCTAATTACATGAGTAGCTATTTGCTTCGAGGAGCCTGAAATTTTCATTTGTGAAAAAATATTTAACATACAATCATTTAACACTTATCATTCTTATTTTTTTATGAAAACAATTGTTGGATTCTAAATCTTAACATGTTTGTTCAAGAAGGAAAATGAAAAAAAAAAGTTTTATTATAAAGGACAAAACATGAGTTTCGAGAACCCCTCCCCCATCTAAAAATTAACTGTCCGGCAGCCTTTAACACAGGGGCAGAATTCTTTCAAATACCGAGTAGGATTGTGACTAAGTTGGCTAATCTAACTCAGTTCAGTTTTCCATCTATAGGTTTCATACCAACACTGTAAAGGAGAATTAGATTCTTGGATTGTAAAATAGCAGAACACAATCTCGGTCTATATCTTTATTCAAATATACAAATTTTGGGACAGGAAAGTGATGCATTTGTAATTTTATTCTTTTGAATTGAGATCATTATGTATTGTATTGTATTACTACAATTGTTTTAAAAAATACAGAACATTTTTTGTATTAATTTAGTTTTTTCAACTTAGGCACATAAGGAGAAGCAACTCATATAACCTTACTTTTACTGCAAAATATTTACATGAATTACACCACTTTCCGCAAAATATATTTTTGTATAGTTTTAGTATGTTGTTTATAGATAGTAACAGACTTGTTTTTCAGAGAAAAACTTTGTGTTGCAATTAGTTGCAGGTTGTTCATTAAATTGACTAGACTACTAGACTCACTAGTAGTTCAAATACATCATGTAATAAGGGGACGAAGTCCCCTATTACAGTAGAAAAATCAATAAAAAAAAAAAAAAAAAAAAAAAAAAAAATCGGGAAAAATTTCCCGAAATTTTCATTGTACTAATGAACTCAAAATCATTAACTTTTTTTTTGTAACTTTTTTTAATTCCCGCATTTGCGCAGAAATCTACTTCCTTCTTCCGGTCTCGTGTGTCATGAGACTTTGAGTGAAATATATATTTATCAGTCCAGTCAAATATAGGAAGGAACACAATAACAATTTCATTTCTAATTATTCTTTGATATGAAAAAACGTTACCTGATGATAGCGTTTCTTTGTTTACATCGAATATGACGTCATAAGTAAAATAACGTCACAACTAAAATCCCTAACAACAGAACCAAAATCGGAAACGTTACCGCGGTATTTCCGTTTCTTTTTTAACAGATTTTGAAGATAAAATATGTTTGAATTAAAAAAAATAATTCTTCGTCCCCTTTCACAGGTAACGCCTGCCTCATATTATAATGATTGTCAGCGAATGTAATCAACGTTCGTTATTATTTTAATTTTTTTGAAATATTAAAAAACCGGCTACCCATGAGAGTTTTTTTTCTGTTTTTTTATTTTTATATAAAGACTAAGGGAGCTGCCATTTGATTTTTATGGGGGGACTAGGATGAAAAATTTTGTCCTGCATTTTTTTAGTTGTAATCTCTGTCCTATCTTTTTATTTTTCACTCTATTCGGTCCTGCTTTTTTTGTTTAGTTTATCCTGTCTTTTTTTTTACATAAATTGTCATCCTGCCTTTTTTTTTGCAAAGTGTTTCATCCTGCCTTTTTTTACTCAAAACTCCTGTCCTGCCTATTTTTTTCAAATTTCATCCTAGACCCCCCCTATAAAAATCAAATGGTAACTCCCTAAAAGAGGAAAGAGGGAGCGTAATTTTTTCGTTGATATAATAAGGGGACGAAGTCCCCTATTACGGTAGAAAAATCAATAAAAAAAAAAAAAATAAATAAAAAAAAATTCGGGAAAATTTCCCGAAATTTCATTCTACTAATGAACTCAAAGTCGTTAACTTTCTATTTTCCGACTTTTTTATTTTCCCGCATTTGCGCAGAAATTTATTTCCTTTTTCCTGTCGTTTGCATGAGTCTTTGAGTAAAATATATATTTATCAGTCTAGTAAAATATATGAAGTAACGCAATACCAATTCCATTTTTAATAATTCCTTGAATGGCTTCAGTTGGTATGAAAAAACGTTACCTGATAGCGTTTCTTTGTTTACATTGACGTCATATCATAAATAACGTCACAAATAAAATTCCGAACAACAGAACTGAAATCGGAAACGTAAGGGTATTTCCATTTCTTTTTTAACAGATTTTGAAGTTAAAATATGTTTGAATTAAAAAAAAATAATTCATACAGACTTCGTCCCCTTTCACAGGTAACGCCTGCCTCATATTATTAAGGGGACGAAGTCCCCTATTACAGTAGAAAAATCAATAAAAAAAAAATAAAAAAAAAATCGGGAAATTTTCCCGAAATTTTCATTGTACTAATGAACTCAAAATCGTTAACTTTCTTATTTTCAGACTTTTTTTATTTTCCCGCATTTGCGCAGAAATCTACTTCCTTTTTCCGGTCTCGTTTGCATGAGTCTTTGAGTAAAATATATATTTATCAGTCTAGTAAAATATAGGAAGGAACGCAATACCAATTCCATTTTTAATAATTCCTTGAATGGCTTGATATAAAAAAAACGTTACCTGATAGCGTTTCTTTGTTTACATTGAATATGACGTCATAACATAAATAACGTCACAACTAAAATTCCGAACAACAGAACCGAAATCGGAAACGTAAGGGTATTTCCGTTTCTTTTTTGAACAGATTTTGAAGTTAAAATATGTTTGAACAAGGACGTATATTAACTAACATAATATACGTCCTTGGTTTGAATTAAAAAAAAATAATTAATAGACTTCGTCCCCTTTCACAGGTAACGCCTGCCTCATATTATTATTATGTCATAAAATGATATCATTAGATCAAATGGAGGGCGTACGCCTCTGTAAAATACTCAAGGATTTTCTTTATCAAATAATGTTAACCACAATAAAGGTTGTACTTTAAAAATTCCGCGTAGTCAACTTTGCGTGAACAGGGGAGACAACTGTTATCACAAACATGGCGGAAGTTGCCGAAAAGTGTGTTTATCTTGTCTACATGGTAAAAGGTACTCAATAATACCACCAATTCTGTGAATAAGGTAGAGATCGAAAAAATTTGAACACCGAATTCTTTTTCTTTTATACATTTGACAGGAAGGAATACAATTCAGGTGAAATTCGAAGAGCAGTGACCGGTGCATTTTTACGGTTTGACAGCTGATTCATTCACAATTTTAGCATACAAGTACTCGCACCGCAGTATCTAGTCTACACCTAAGACGATTTTTTAATTTGATTAGCCAAATTTAAAATGTCGCCAGTTTATAAAGTTTACAGTGTGATCAGTCAAAATCACACAATTTATCAGAAAATAAGTCTTTATTTACTGTAAGGCAAAACAATATGTTATTAGACTTCAAATATTCTTCACTTGTGGTCTTTACAAAAGGTGTAAGATAGTCCGGTTCTACAGGTTCACCATAATTTTGTATAGAGAAGGGGAATATAAGGCAATTTAAGGTACATCTAAAATTGGGGTCTGTTTCAATGTTTGCCCACAGTCTATTCACCCAGATTCCTTTAAGCCCTTTTACTTGACCTATTCTCCCTCGGTTCATATATATGCCCATATTGATGTTGTGTTCTTTTGTATAATGGTTGAGTAAGTACATTATGCCTTTAGTCTTTTTACTAGTTATTTTTATGTTAGTAATTAAGTGGTTGTTATTGGTCGCTAGAAGACCATAACACAAGACGTTAAAACTATGGTCCTCTACACCTCTAAAAAGCACAAATGGTTGATCTCAGTTAATTATTTGATAAATTTAGTAACGTTCAAAATCATGGCAGAGATTTTTTGTGTACAATGTACATGTATAATAATTGTGTCCCTCACATTGAGGTATAAAAACAATCGGAAGAAGATCAGCAATAAAAGCGTGTACATGGGTTAGTAGTGGTTGTGTGATGAATTGATACGCTATATCTTTTCTTTTTCAATGTAGACATTTTGCAGATTTGTAAGGTGTGCTTCCTCAAAGCATAAATTAAAGCACTTAAAATACTTGGCTATTCATAAATGTACAAAATTGTTACATGTATTTAAGATAAAGTACAGTCACTTGCTGAACTAACATTCAAACCCCATCTTCTCCCCTTCCATGTTGAATTGGAAAAAAAGAAGTTTTTATTGCAGTGAAATAAGTGCATGTGGGATGAAGGGTCCATGAGAGAGGCTGCATTTCAATACAATGATTACTATGCTTAAGGCATATTTGAAAAAGTCATGATAAATTTTTATGATAAAAAAAAACTTGGTATTTGAATTTTCATGGTCTAACTTTTGATCTACTTATATAAATGTTAAGTAATCATGGTAATTATTTACCAAATTTTGAACATTGTTGTATGTCTTTTGTGTATGCAAATTTCTCTGTAATTATGTAAGCTTAGGGATGAGTAAGTGTATAAGACATTTAAACTTTATGTTTATTGACTATTTAAATGTATTATACTTGATTGTATAATTCTATGACTATGGGCTATACATGTATATGTTGTAAGAAAATAAGATTGTCCCCAGTTTTTCAATTTGTTTTTATTGAACAAAGGAGTAAACTAAGTATCTTATAGTTCTACAAATACATGTATGTATATACTGTATGCAGAAGATGGATTGATGGAACCATTTGTTTACAAAGATATACCTAACAATGACTATACATGTATCATGGATCACAAGCACTTGCATGCCAATGTAAACAATATACCCCACATGTTACATGTTATGTAATATCTTTACTTAACATATTGACCAAAGATATCATATAAGTATTATATTTTATTTTACGGAAACAAGTACCTGCATAAATATCAGATCTCACATGCACATAGATACTATCTTAAATGTATGATTTAAATCAAACTTTGCTGTACAACAATTGCAACTTGATGAAGATAATTATCTAGTTAGAAATTATAACACAATTGAAGCATTACAAGTGAACCAATAAAAAGTGATTAGATCAATAGTCATAGACATAAATTAATCTGTAGGGATTTCAGTGTCATCATTCTGATTACCTGTGAGCATCTGATTGAAGGCAATGGTCAATTAGGAATGATTCTCCATGCAACAGGAATATAACTGAAAGCAGATTTAGATTCAACATTTTATTAGAGTGTCACCACATACATGTACAAACATTTCTCTAATTCTTACCCGATCATTTATCCTTTTCCTGACCTGTTGTTTATTTTTATTTAATCAACGTGTGGTTCATAAAATTGATTTCAGTTCTTCATTGGTCAAAATTCAATTATGATGTCAAATTTTCTTGCTTTCCTCTGAATTTTCTATTGTACATGTTGTAACGTCTTGAAAAAAAGCAACCATCAATGTCTGATGACGTTACATAGAAAGTACACATCTTTTTGCAGATCATTCGAAAAGGAAAATTGTCTGTACAATTGTAGTATATATATCGTCTTAAAACCAGTAGAGAAACAGATTCCACCACCAAATCTCGTGCAATACGATATTTATTCACTCTCGACAGATAAATTTTTAACTGTCTCGAGTGGATAAATATCGTATCACACTTGATGCAGTGGTAGAATCTATATATATACGTAATAAGATTCACAGAATAACGTATAAAACGATAAAAATATTTTCAATAGATGCATCAATCTTCAAAAGATTTAAGAGAGACTTTTCAGACACAATATATACATGTACATATCTACATTTATAATACAAGTACTGTATGTAAAACATTTTGTTTCTTGAAAATTTAGTGAAATGAAATACTGTTTCTCCTCAATAAAATTTTGTTGCAGGTTTTGGCAGCAGTATTTTCTTAACAAATAAAATTTTAAAAATGCATATATATAAAGAAGGTGTACTACTAATGATATTAAAACAAGGCAAACTTTTGCGAAAAAGCAAAATTTCTAATGTGAAATTGAAGACCCATTGGTGGCCTTCGGCTGTTGTCTGCTCTTTGGTCGGGTTGTTGTCTCTTTGACATATTCCCCATTTCCATTCTCAATTTTATTTTAAGCATGTAAAGAAAAATTTTCTATCATTGATTTTTCTATTTCATCTGAAAAATGTTAATAACATAAACATGTTAAAATGTATACAATTTGCATACATGTATATGATGTTTATAATTACATTCTCAATATACATGTAAATTTAAGCTCTTATCAACCAAAATATCAAAAATACAAAAAATTTTAATTTTGTAAAAGGGCTTTCTGACAATTATTTAACTTGAACTCAACCTTATGTGACACATACCTGCCAACTTTTGAAAATCCCCATGGGGCTTTAGTGTGTGACAACAATTTCAAAGGTTACAATTCTTTGTGTCATTTTTTGCGCGTGCTGTTTTGTGCTCTATGAAAAGTGCCATATCTTTTTTTTATATGGTTAACTGATGATAAGCTTATAAGCCTTTTTCTTCTTTTTATTTGCATGATTCTAGTACTTATATCAGTAGAAGAAATGAACATGTAGCTAGAATACATGTACCAGGATATTATTTTCTTGTGAATGTGTAAGAATATTAAATGATTGTTGACTTTTCCCAATTTAAAATTATGCACAAACATGACAAAGAAGGACATTTATTTGGTCCTTATGAAAAATAAAGCATAGTACATTGTACTTTCAATTATTTGGTAATTTAGTCAGGTTGGGAACAACCAATTGTAATGACTATTCCTTTTATGAGGGGTTCATTTCAAGTGATAAAAAAATGTTTTTGTAAAAACCACTTCTTAGTACAAAAGGGCACATATTTATATTATTTGATGAAACCTTTCCCAAAGAACTATACATCTATCTGGTATAATATGGTCAAAACATGTCTAAGAATTTTGTATTATTCATGGACTTATATCTTCTTTATTTTCAAAAATAAGTGGATCCCTCTTTTAAAAGTTGTTCTAAATATAATGAATGTTTCCCCTTCTAAGTTAAAAAAGCTAAGTTTTTCTTTTTTTCTTTTATACAACAGCAAAATGACCCCCTGTCTGGGGGACTGTCCCTCATTTAAGGGATATCCCTCATTTGGGAGTTGTTCTCAACCTGTTAATTACAAGAATGACAACACTGTAGTAGTGTATGATATGTTACAGTAAGGGTAATGTCAATAAGCTACTATTTATTATGTTTATGGTAGTACTGCATCATTGAATTTTGTCAATCAGCCATGCTTTTTTTCTTTTAAGCTGTGTAAGAACTTTCTTGCAGATGAAAATTCACTTGCTTTACAATTTTGACAAACACTGAGTGAAACACACAGAGGAATCCAAACAAGTTCAAAATTAAGGATGTCCATATAGTCATGAGAGAAAACGATTTTGATTGGCTTATTAATTTGATCATGAGAAACACAGACTTTGATTGACTGTAGCCATCGGTCTTAATGGTTAAGACCGATGGCTACAGTGCTGAAGGTCCTGAATTTCGATTCTCACTCGGGGTGCTAATAATATCAGTACATCAGAAGGGTGATTTTCACCCTCTCACACACATCTCTGGTACCCAGACCGGAGATTAAACTAGAATGGGTACTATGGGGGCCTCGGTTGGTCACAGTTGTTCCCGACTTTGACCTGGAGATCAATCTGCTGATATCTCTTCGGTTTGTCTGTTCCCCCCGAGCAGCCCAGTAGTTCTCTCCAAGTACTTCGGCTTCCTCCTCCATAACAGATCCGCCCGGTGTCCTAACACTCCCTGGTGTTGGGGTGGGGATTGTCCTTGTAAATATTGAACATTGTAAATACGTTAGTGACACATCTCCATTAATCCTGATAGGGAGTGTTCACGGATTCCACTGTACCCTCGCAGCTCTCGAGGGGTGCTCCATAAACGGAGGTATCTGCGTACATACATTGGCTGATCACTATTGTCTTCCCTTGGGAACAGTTCAAAATTGGGAACAATCTATTTTGTCGAGCCTTCGACATTTGTCAAAAAGCGAGACATAGCGACCCTACATTCCGTCGTCATCATCCTTGTTATCGTTGTTTGCGACGTCCACAAATATTCACTCTGCGGTTAAAGTTTTTGAAATTTTAATAA